AGGTCCACCTGCTTCTAACTCCAAGTGACAGAATTAAAGGCTACCCCTGGGTACATTTATCAATGCACTAAGAGATCATCTGGGATAGTTATGTTATCTTCACCAGCCAACATCATCTAAGATGAGGACTTGCTCTAGGGGAAAAAATAACTGTCTCAAATAATGTTTAAAGTTAGGAAATTTTTTATCAGTAGCTCTAAGTATCATAAAGTGAATTCTGTCAGGGTCATTTTTTTCTGATATAAAATTACCAGTGATTCAGTATTATAAAAATTGTATTTAGCTCAAAACAAGTTGCCAAATTTAAGCAACAATCGGTAGTAAGTCCTTATTATCTAATGGAAAAAGCACTAAACTTAACAGGTTTTTAAAAGAAGCATATGAAAACACTGAATACTTTATCTTTTGGAAAAATAACACAAAACAACACTAATATCTCAGAATTAAATGAAAAAACAGACCCATTGACTGTCAACAGGTAGGTAATTCAATTCTATCTTTCTAGCTGGATGAGGTAGTCCTAACAACCACCAGTTGCCTGGCAGTCAAAGCTACATAAGCATGGGGGTTGCCATAGTGACAATATGCCCCTTTTGAAACCTGGAAGTCAATAGTATTAGGTATTTATGAGCTTCATAACACAGTGCCTCCTCCCACACTCTGAATCATAGCTCAGGCTTCATAACTTCATGAAATGTGATTTTATTCTGACCTTTGTAAGTCGACTTTGCTCCTTTAGCAATATAATGCATACATAAATGTCAAAAGAAATAATGTGTTAGGTACACATACTCAATAGATAATAATGAGTGTGTTGCTTTGATAAATTTTGTGTCGCTATTAGAATTTGCTGATTTCTTATTATAACTGGGCATGATAATATCTTATTAATTCATGTCTCAGCTCATAGTTACAGATAAAATTATTCCTATTATCTTTGTTTAATAAGAAAATAAAAATACAAACATAACACCTAGAAACTTTTTAAATTTAAGCTAAAGGGTTTTTATTTTTAGATATAGTCTTAATTATTACAGCCTAACCATTAATACTGCTGAAGAAGAAGACCGCATATTGGTAGTAAAATGCTAGGGAAAAACTACCAATTACAAATCAGTCAGTATATTTGCTTTCACCGGTTTTTGATGCATTTTGGTGACTTGCAATAATGTCATGCTGCTACTTTTAAATTTTCTTTGGCTCAGTTGCTAGTTTAAATTAAAGCGGAATATTTATAACAGTCTGAGCTGGAAATAATCTAAATATCTATCCATTATTGGGTGAACAAAACAACAACAACAAAAATACAGAATAGAATGCTAGTTTGCAACATAAAAGTATGTGTGGTATATCATAAATGAACCTAAGAATATTTTGCTGAGTCAAAGAAACCTGGGAGGCCATATATTCTACAATTCCACCTGAAATGTACAAAAATGGGAACGTAGATAAAAATGTACAAAAAACGATTTGGGAAATGTTTAAAGTGGGGATTGGCCATTTATGGAACCTTATTTATGGGAAGAAAAAGTTCTGAATCTGAATTATACTGATGGTTGCACCACTTGACAAAATTATGAAAGACCATTCAATTAAATACTTGAAATAGGAAGTTTTACAGCATGTAAAATATATCTCAATGGAATGGTGCCTTTATGTTTTTAAGAGTCAGAGAATAGGGCTGCAGAAATCCCTGCCTGATGAAAAAGCAAAGACTGAACAGGTTAAGCAACTTGTTTAACGTTCACCCGGCTAGATCACAGCTAACTCTGCAAAGAAAAGACTGAAACCCCACTCATGTTACTGAAACTGCTCAAGGAATTTTTTTTATAAAATTTACTCTTTTATGGATTAAATTTGTTTTCATACATATTTTAGTGCATTCTGCTTACTCTCTTCCCCACCTCCTTTTGTTTCCCTCTCACCCATGACCCCTCCCACTTCTTCACTGAGCCCTTCCAGAATTCATGCTGTTTTGTTTTCTTTTGCTTTGGGATCCACTACTTGCATGCAGGACTATTAGAGTGGCCACAGGTTTGGAACTATTCACTGGAACCTGATGGACTCATTACCTGGTACACTACTGAAAGCAATAACTGTCCCTCCCTCTCCACCAGAATCCATCAGTGGTGAAGCATACAATAGGAAAAGAACTTAAAAAAAAATAAAACTATATTGGCCGGGCATTGGTGGCAAACACATTTCATTCCAGCACTCGGGAGGCAGAGGCAGGCAGATCTATGTGCGTTCAAGTCCAGCCTCCAGCACTCGGGAGGCAGAGGCAGGCAGATCTATGTGCGTTCAAGTCCACACAGAGGGACAAGAGTGAGTGCCAGGATAGGCTCCAAAGCTACACAGAGTAACCCTTTCGCAAAAAAACAAAACAAAACAAAAAAAGAA